TGCATCCTCTTCATAGCATGGACACAACCTGAGACACAAGCAGGCTGAGAACAGAGTAAATAAAGTTGAGGCTCAGTTGGTTCCCAGGTGTGCTAATTGATGCTAATTGCCTGCCACCTAGATGGATGGACATATGCTGTAGTGCTGGCTCTCCCGAGTAAGTCTCAGCTGTGTCAATACAGAAGGACAGGTATTTCTTGCAAGTGCAAATATGTGACACGATGATGAAGTTACTGTCCTACCTTTATATTTTCAATCGGTCATACATATACACATAGACATGAGACTTAAGCCCCTCACCTGGAACCTCTTTCTCTAAAATGAAGCAAGAGTCCATTTTCAGTATCGCCTTTTTAAAAAGCAGAGGGAAAGGGACTAGAGTCATTCAGAAGGTAGAAAAGGGTAGGTTAGAACAATTTTCTACAACTTTTCTTGCATGCAATAGTAGGAGAACTGGTAACATTTCTAGAACATTTCTGTATGACCTTGATGGGCTTCTCAATCATCCCATATTAAATCTGTTGCCTTTGGAAAAGGACTAAATGCATAGGGAGCAGACAAAAGAATCATAGAATCATAGAATCATAGAATGCCGAAGGTTGGAAGGGACCTCAGAGGTCATCGAGTCCAACCCCCTGCTCACGCAGGGTCACCTAGAGCACGTGGCACAGGGCTGCATCCAAGCGGGTTTTAAAGATCTCCAAAGAAGGAGACTCCACAGAGAACAACAGGCTTGAGTAGCCATTCCTTACTTGGAAAACTGCAGGAAGAGAACTATAGGTAAAAGACACAGTTCTGCATCTTCTTTGACACCCATACTTGACAGTATGCACCCAGCACTTACAATATTGCCCTCAAGTTCTCAAATGAAGGGAGTATCTCATTTATCACACTAGTAGAGTTCTGTACCTAGAAGAGCATCTATATTCAATCATCTTCTGTTTTACATCCCAGGCACTATCAGTGGAGTATTTAAAATAAATTCAGGTGTCTAATGACATTCTAGACATCTCAAAGTGCCTCACTTGATCTGCAGAAAGGGAGAGGTGTGTCCTGCAGGCTGTTTTCCACCAGCCTGAATTAGACACCTGAATCGCTCCCTGCAACCGCATTTGGTACCATTGGTTTTCAGAGCATTTTTACAAACACATCTCTCTTCCTAGAGACTGTGGTAACACAAACAGAAGTGTAAGACCTTGTTCCTCCAGAAGAGAACTGTTGTGCAAACTGCTCATGAGCTGGGGAGGTGATCCATAGGGAGATCTCGTAAGGAAGCTCAGGTGAAGCTCTCTTCTCGTCTTTCATGACTTGGAGAAAGTTCATTGCTCGCAGACCTGTCACTTTGAGCCTCACACCTCAGTTTCTGGTCCTGGTTAGGAACTGATCAAATTGACAGCTTGTCAGCGCTGCTTCCTTTCCCGAGACAGGAGAGATGCCTCCTCTGGCTAAGGTAGTGACAGGCTGAACAGAGTTTAATTTGGGTAGGTTTGTCCAGTCCACCCTGTAGTCAGTGGTATCTACACTATTTGCCCTATTTTTTGGAGCACCTGGAGTTCAGAAAAAGAAAAAAAAAAACAGTTTCCTACAAGGTCTGACAACGAAACAAACAGTAGCAAGCAGACACCCGCCAGCTTCCCTGCTAAGGGAAGTGGGCACAAACTCCATGAGGTGGCAGATCCCCAGAAGGGCAGGGAGACCCAGGGCCCCCCGTGGGCCTCCCTTCGGACACTGCGGTGCCACCCGCTGAGTCGCGCTGTCCCGGGTGCTTGGAGCCGCTTTCCTGCATCTCGAGAATGGAATTGTTGGCACGTCCTGTCAGGAAGAGACAGAGGTACCATTGCCACAGCGCTGCTTGGAAAAATTCCCTGCACTAAAAGGAAACCAGCTGGAGTCACCGCTGGATCAAAAGCAACCCAAGCTCTTGGGCTTGCATCCATTAGCTGGAGGTGAATTGGAATAAACTCCCCGTTCCACAGAGCTTTGGCACTCTCCTGGGAGCTGCACTCACCTCCAGAGCTATAAATAAATAAATAAAAGCAGCAAATCCAGACCTCCCGCACCAGCTTATTTGACATAGGAGCCCACACGTGGGTGGTCCCGTGCGTGGAGCGGCCTCGCCTCTGCGACGGTGGGAGACACTAACTCATGCCTGCAAAAACTCGGTGGCCTTCCCAAAAAGATAGGGAAAAGAAACAGAACATAAGCAAGTGAAGGAGATAGTTAAGTGCTTGGAAAAGAGGGAGGAACTGAAAATAAAGGCATAAAGAAAATCAGCGTGGTTTGGCTTCCCCATATCCCAGTGCATCTTGATTCTTTTCTGTCTCTTTTATTTTAAACGACCAAGTCTAGAATAATATTGGCAGGAAAAGCATCTTGTCCCCTGTCTCACTAAATCCGGATTTTGTGTGTCACACACCATTTTCTTTCCAGAAAAATGCTCTTGCCAGAGGAAGAGCCAAAATCACCTGCAGGGATTTCTCTCTTTTACTCTTTTACTCTGTCCTCAGGCTACAGTTCAGACTGGGCATTTCCCAGTCCCAGTTATTTGAGCAGGGGCTTGCAGCTCACCCTAGAGCCTATGCGTGCGATACGACAGTGCAAACTCAATGTTTCTCAAGGCACAGAGGAACAAATGCTCATGTATCAAGGGCCTGACTGTGTTAGACATAATCCTTACGGGTAGCCAGACCAGAGACCCTTTGCAAGGCCTTGAGCAAAGGAGCGGTGATGCTCAGCCCCCTGCTGCTGCATCACGTGTGATTTGGATCTATAAAAAATAAAGAAAGAAAAGGCAAGTAACGACCTCCTGGTTACAATTAGGGAGCTTAACATTGTAGGGCTATAGGCTCAAATCAAACCAAATATGTAGGAAAAAATAGATTTAATGTTCAGAGGTTGATTTTGCAAATATAAGTGGTGTTTACTGCAGTAGGGCTCATGGTTGCATAAAACTTCCCTGTTATACGAGCAATCCCTGTTGCAGTGGATACCACTGGATCACCAATGAGTTAGACAGGCTCTCACCCACACTGCCAATTTGAAAACAACATTGTCTGTTGATCATTAAATGTTGATTCCAGCTAATTAATCTGAAAAGGTCCTGGAGAGAATCCTGACGGATCTAGCTTCTACCTCAGCTTCCGTGCGTGTGTGAACTTGCTCTCCAGTGATTACACGTTCCCCTGATGATCCATGTGCTCTCCCAAGACCGGCCCACCCAAAGACAATTTCACACGAGGTCTGAGGCCCTTAATGAGGACATTGGTCCTGCTGCTCTTCTCCAAATACACCTAAAATACCTGGTTACCAGTTTGTCAACTGCAGCTACAATTAGAGCACTCAAGAGCTTACGGAGAGTCACCAATGGAGTCACAATTTGGCTGCCAGGGCTTTGACCACCTCGGCTTTACTAGCAAGAACAGCACTTTCCCTGCAAACTCTGGGATAAATTTCATCTCTAACTATAAAAACATTTTTGGCACAGTCAAAACACGCGCTTTCTACCCAAAGTCATTTCCTTAATTTAAAAGCACACAACTTCCTCCTCCTCACAGACGAGGACTTTACACTTTCACACTTAATATAGGAAAATAGGGGAAACAGGGACCCCAGCCCATGGCTCCGAGGGATCCCATCTCTAGGATGACACACAGCTCCAGCCCGTAGCTCCACCGAAAGCAGCTACCTGGCCAGGCAAGAAGGCCGCCAAACGAAGCGAGGATCTCACACAAGATGCTTTAGACAGCTGTTTGCTTTTCTAAGAACACCACATTACCCGCTTACTCTCAAAGGAATTGTATTGCACCTACAAGAAGATATGTTGAGAGGCTGAGTGAGCTGGGCCTGTTTTCTCTGAAGAGAAGGCTCAGAGGGGATCTGATTAATACGTATAAGTTCAGGAAGGGAGAATGCAGGGAGGAAGGGGACAAGCTGTTCTCACTGGTGGCCAGTGATAGGACGAGGGGTAATGGCCACAAGCTGGAGCACAAGAAGTTCCATCTCCAGGTGAGGAGCAACTTCTTTACTGTTAGGGTGACAGAGCAGTGGAACAGGCTGCCCAGGAAGGTTGTGGAGTCTCCTACTCTGGAGGTCTTCAAAACCCGCCTGGATGCCACCCTGTGCCACATGCTGTAGGTGTGCCTGCTTGAGCAGGAAGGTTGGACTAGATGATCTGTAGAGGTCCCTTCCAACCTTAAATATTCTGTGATTCTGTGATGTTCTCAGGGCCAGCAGTTCTTTGGACATTCACGTAAAACTATTATCCTAAAAAACCCAGCCCCCAAGGTTCTTCTTATTAAGAGGAATATGAAAGAAAAATCAAACACACATGGATTGGCTTTTCCTGTGCAGCCCTGATGTCTCTTCCATAGCACACGGGCTTTATTTTATGAGAAATTTTAATGCTCTCACTGCAGTTCATCACTTGAACGACATTTGAGCAGACAAGTCTGCCTGCAGCAAACCCCTTGTTCTCCCTGTTCCTCCACCCAGGACTGCGCTTTCCGTGTGCACCAGACGGAGCCGGTACGGAGCCTGCTTCTGTCACGGAGTAACTGCAGCAACGCAGCGCGGCCCCGGTCACCGCGAGCGCGTGTCCATCCCGTCCGGCCCTGCTGCAGCCTCCTTCCTCACGCTGAACAGGAGACAGGGAAGGGGACAGGGATTTTCTCATCCACTCGCTCTTTCAAACAGGCACACAGGGCACGAAACCCGAAGCAGAGGGCGCACAGAAATCCAAAGCAGGCGAAGTGAGTTGGTGCACAATATTCTGTAATGAGTTTCCTTCGAGGCCATGCAATCTGTCCAGACAGCCCAGAGCTCCCTTGGTTGCTGCTTCCTTCCTCATGACATCCCACGTGTGCTCCATTTTCCTGCCCGTGGGCCGCAGAGTGCAGCCCCTTTGCTGCAGGAGGGGACGCGGTGGGTCCAGCTAAGCGCAGAGAGTGGCTGTCCCTGCCGCCGGGAGCGACTGCATCACTGTCACAGAGGCAGCTCTCTGCTCACCTACGTTCACCGTGGACCCAACCACCCCATCGGGCACGCGGGTGAGACAAGCAGAGCGACGTGTTACTGATCAGGCCCCCCAGAATCTCGAGCAAAGTCAAAAATGAAGATGTGCTTGTGAATTTGGAGATCCTGAGGGTGCATTTTGGATAGCAGAGCCTGAAAGGAAAAATAAAAGTTAGCCGATGGAACTGAAGTTTTCTTCAGGAACAGGAAACAGGTTCAAGGACACAAATTATTGCAGTATTTAAGGCAATAAGATGTTGTGGATATAGCCGAAAGAAAGAAATTCAAAGTATGGTAAGAAATGCCACCATAGCCACTACACCACTAGTGAGACTTTGGGTCTTAGGAGTCATTTTTGGTACCATCTACCCTTAACAGGATAAGTGAGAACACAGCAGCAATGCAGCGTGCTGCAGCAGAGCAATCTGACTGACCCGGGTACTAAATTCACACTGAGGCGGAAAGTGGAATTTGGGGGTTTCTGATCCACAGCCCAGGCCTTAACCCATCTCCTCTGTAAGAACAGACATGGCTTTTCCCATGTGCTCTCACATGCACCACTTGCCTATATCCCTCCGTTGCAATCCAGGGAAGGGCATTCCTGTGAAGGACCTACTCTTCAGCAGGGATGTTCACATTTACCACTGGGGTAATGGCATTTACAGGCGTATTTGCTGCAGCGGCTGTTCTGCAGCCCGGTTTCCAGCCTTAGCTGCCCTCGTGGCTTGGTCCCACACGGCAGGCAGGTGGGATTTGCGGCACCTCCCAGGTTTTCTCCGGATCACACCCAGCTGCTGCTGCTGCTCCCTAAACGCACCCTCACCCGAGCCTGGGGGCTGCGCTCTTGCATTCCCACACACTCATACCCACATTTCAGAACTGACTAGGAGATCCACCACTACCTCCGAGCTGGAAAACGGCCTGCACCGAAGAAAACTTCCAGGTTTTCCCTTTTGTACAAGCAGCCCTAGGGCAGCCGCCAGCTAAGGCAGTGCTAAGGCAGCATTAGCACACTTGGAAATAGGAGCGGAGGGAGCGGAGCGCCGGTGCCAGACACGCTGTTCCCTGTGCTGCTAAAACAGGACTTCCCGCTAACTGCTGCTTACCGAAATAGCCGCGTTCTCATGGAACCTCGCTAATAATAGGGGCCGGGCCCAGAGGCTGCAGTCATGTGGGGCCGTTTATCTAAGGGTCTTAAAACAGACCAGGAATGCAGCCGAACGGCCGTTCGTGCCAGAAACGGCGAGTTCATGCAAAGGTAACTCAGTCCCCTGACCCAGGAGGGAGAAGAGGGCGGCACAGGGGATGTAGATGGCCATTTTAACACAGCTCTGGCTGGTTTTCCCCATCAGTGATGATAGAGACTTCTTAAAAACTACTGCAGCCACCTCGGTTACTTTCAGGCTCTAGGTCCTTTCTGGCATTTTTTAAAGACTCAATGCATCTGGGCTCAGAGGCACCACGTCTTATGGGACCAAGGGCATGGGAACTGGGAGCTGCCTTCACACTGCGAAAACCAAGAGCCCCTCTAAACAAGTTTTAGCAGAACAAAACTCCAGCACAACCTAAACTCACAAAGCAACATAAGCATAAAGTACCCCAGTGACTTCAGCCTGGCTCGATGTCCTTTCTGACATGTATTTAGGCAAAGGAAGCAGCCCGATGCCAGTGCAGAAGAGCGACTACAGGAGAGGCGCTTCCGCTGCCAGCACAAGCCCTGGGGCGGGCTCGGGCTGCGACGAGCGCCAGCAGAAAATGCAGCAACTCTCCAGGCAGGTGGTCAGATATTCCGATAACCGCACTTTGATTTTCTCTAAGTAGCATCAGCTGCATCACCCTGAGCAGCTGGTCTCACCTAACACTGCAGATGCAGTTTATACTTCTGTCCTTGAATGACACTGCTCACCCATTGATAAAACTGGCTTGAATGAGTACACAAAAATTGTCCTCTTCCTTTTACAATGCTTAGAATTAATTATTTCTCTTAAATCAAAATCTTTTAGAAAATCAGGTGAAAAACCCTATGCATACTAACCAATAAAACAGAAATAACCACTATCAGACGGAGGCCTCATCTTGCTACCTGAACTTGGGTCTCCATTTTTTTCTGAGACCAGTTTTGCATCAGTAAATTTGCCACAGAAAAACCTTTTATACCCCATCCCTGCTGTATTTCAGTACTGTTCAAAACAGCCTTTTGGTATCGCAGTTGAAGAGAAGTGACCCTTTCTGATTTTATTTCATGGCGCGTGGACAAGTTCTGAAATGCAGCACAGGAGAAGAAACTTTGGATGCTGAGGGAGGCCTTCCTCCTTACAGGCACTGTTAACGGGTGTTAGCAGCACGGGTGTTTCCAGCAGCGAGGGGTACGTGTTCCTTGGAGCTCATCCTGTAGGATCCTGCCCGGGGGTGGCAGATCCGCTCGTGCCAGAGCCGGTGCCTGGCTCGGCGGCAACTCCGCGCAGCTGGAGTCACCTTCAAAGTCCCCTCCCTGCTCTGCCACCTCTCGCACACCCCATCACATCCCCCTTGTCACGTTCTTCCTCGAAACGTGGGATAAGGGGGATTCTCTGGGGATGAGACAGCAAAAGATGCCCCCAAACGGAGGCAAACAGATGTCCAAGGGGTAAAAGAGGAAGGAAGGATAAGCAAGAAAGCAGGGGGTATTAACAGGGGGTATTAATTTCTGGTTTTTAGAATATCCCATCACACTTAAAAACATATCATCTTTAATATTAAGAACAAAAGCTTTCTCCCTCATTATACGCGAAACAGCGATGAAGTGCAGATCACAGGTTATATGTTTAGGCTGCTACTTCATAAGCTTTAATTATGGCAGATAGAAACGGATCACCTCATCCATCTGGAATAAAAGCGGGATAAGCACTTGGCACTTTTGTTCTACATGGGACTGCAAAATATCTTGCCCATCTCTCCTCTTTGGCAATACTGGGGTTTGACACATTGTGATATAAAAGAATGCAGAGCCCAGATTATCTTTTATTTACAGAAGTGATAAATTAACCATTGTTGAGATAAAACCTGCCACGCAACCATTTCTCCTCACTGACCTCATGCTTAGGCATGGGAATGAAATCAACTTCAGAAAACCAGTGGTGGCACCGCTTAAAGAAAAGAGACCAAAACCTAGTTTGTAGCCTCAAGAGAGAGGTTTCCCAAGTGCTGTCAAAGCTCGAAGCTCTCTTCGACAGGCCAGCAAATCCCAGCAATAAGCTGCAAAACTATTCCCACCATCACCCCAGACTGCCAAACATCAATAAAAAAACCAACTTAAATAAGTGATTCTAATCAAAAGATAATCCTGGTTCTTCTATAGCTTCTGAGGAGTGACTTGCTCACACATAGTGACTGGAAATCACTACCTGGGGCATTAGGAAACATCTTATGTAGCACAAACCGATTTTACATGGCCAAGAAGGCAGAGAAAAATCGCTCTCACCAACAGGACAGTATTTCAAAAAGTATCCAAATCTTAACTTCATCCGGGACTTATTTAGCACTGTCCCACTCTTTTTTTCCTGACTTTATTCAGTTGCCTTCAAGTACAGAAATTTTCCCTTCTGCTTCGGCAGTATTTTGCACCCATTTTGGATGCCGACAGTGCTGAAAAGCAACATTGGATGTGGCTCAGATTCTAGTGTGGCCAAGAGATTTGCCAAAAAGGAAGTGAACTCAGGCGAGGCCACCAAATAAAGAAGTCAATACACAGCACCAAAGCAATGCAATGGGCAAGAAACCATTATTTCATCGCCTTCTCCTTGCAGAGCCTTGACACAGCACGAGTGAGATTTAAGGCAAGAGGCCACCTTCTCGTTATGCTTTAGTCCATCATTCACCTCCCCACACGCTTTCAGTCTTTACAGTTGTGAATACAAGCGAGAAAGCGGGACCCGGGCGCACGGATCTCTAGTGGATCTCTAGCACATGGCCCAAGACGCGGCACTGACGTGCCAAGCGCAGCAAGGAAAACACGGGGCTAAGCTAAAAACACCCCCGGGAAGCTTCCGAGAGGATGGAGAGAGCTGGTTGTTTTCCAACTGCTTTAAGAAGAGGGCAGGAGGCAGAAGATGGCTGGTAGGAGGAAGGCTCAGGTCCAGGTCTTCCTCTCTGGTGCTGGTCCCACTGGGGATTGCAGCCCAGCCAGTGCTGTTTCCCCCTACACACATCTGGCTATTGCAGGATCAACTTCAGATGATGCCAACTTAAAACATTTGGCCTTTCGCGGTGGGAATGAAACTGCCTCGCATCATCTTTCATTTCCTAGAGGGTGACGGTTAGCTAAGTAGTCACTGCAAAACACTAGATGCACAACAGTCTGTTGGAGCATCAGAAGCCACGGATACCTCATGTTACTGACAAGACAGAGCAGAAGGCAAACCAGCCGTAACCCGTCCTGAGAGAAGCCCCATCCGGTGGGAAGTTTCTTCGGTCCTGTGGAAAGTTCCTGCTGGAGAGTCCCGCAGCACCCACAGCTCTGCGTTGGGAAGGGAGCCGGGCTGCGACGGAGCAGCAAACCCAGCTTGGCTTTGGTGCTGTCCCTTTGCTTAGGCTGGAACCACCTTGGTTTGGGCATTTGTTTGGGTTAGTCCGTTTTGCTCCATCCCGATCTAGCAAATCATTCTCCTTAGAGTAACCTGAGCAAGGAAGTAACGGCTAAGGGAAGCTTCAGCAGGGGAAACAGCATCAAGCAACTAGGCCTAGCCTTTAATCTCCACGTGCTGCTTTAGGCTTGCCTGGCAATTCTAAATACCAGCACACATATTTTTTTTTCTGTTTTGAAAAGACTATTCAGACATAGAAAAAATGCCCTGATTCTGATTTGTACTGTATTTAACTAGCACTGTTATCAGATTTCCTAAGGTTAATTCCAATATGAAAAGTTTTACAGGAAATTTCAGAAAAGGGTTTCCCCCCCCCCCCCCTCCAAATCCATGAATCCATGTTGAAAATACCAAGTTTTACTTGAGAGGATCTACTGATCCAACTGGCTAAGCAAGTACATTTGATATGCAACATACTGCAATAAATACAGAATTTATAAATACTCTTCCTGTCATGTCTTTTTAGGAATATAATCTGAACTTAAAAGGGCAGTCTTAGACATTGCTGGGAATTAAAATGTAATTAGCAAT